CTTGTATTTTTATAAAAATAATTCTTTAATATCACTTTAACATTCGATGTTGCAATGTAAACTTTCACTAAATGAAAAGCATCTACTCCTTTAGTTAATCAACCTCATTGTATTGCAATGTACTGGAAGAAAAATGCCATTTGCCATTCCATTTAATTAAAATGGAGTCTCTTAAAAATTCAACATGCGTCCTTGGATGAATGAGCCCTAATGTATGTAAGAGCCTGGATTAAAAAAGAACAAACTTGATGAACAATGCTAAAACTGAATTATAACTATACCTAAATTTTCTTTTGGGTGAAACGCTGCATGGTTACATAGTTACATAGTATTTGAGGTTGAATAAAGACATTAGTCCATATCATTATCACATTTGGATTTTTACTGATCTACGGGACACAGCAGTGAGATCTCTTCCACCCTCAGTTGAGTCACCTTTGTCTCCTGCCTCATGTCTCCCCATATTTCTGCAGAGAATCTACTAAAGTGCATACAATACTGCTTGTCAGTGTTCTGCACCCCTCTAGTGGATCCTCTAAAGGACTATAGAAATTTACAGGCTTATCACAGCTTTGTAGCATGGGAAAAACATTTCTTGCGGGGCGCAGCATATCAGAAAAGACCTTCTAAAGACTGAACTAGACACACTCCACCTAAAAATCAAGAAATCAGTTGTGGTTTCATTAGTTTTTTTAAAATCACAATTAGATACAAAAAGTCAAAGCACAAAGTCTTCTTTAGAAAAATGACTGCACCAGCTACTTCACAGCACTTACACTCAGGGGCGTATTTACCGCGAGGCAAACAAGGCGTTTGCCTGGAGCGGCACTTTGCAGGGGAGCGGCATTTTTCGCCCCCCTGCAAAGAGGAAAGCTGGGGACGAACAAGGCACCGGGCGCACAAGATCAAGCAGCGTCGGTTGCCTTAACAGGTGGCTGCTAACAGGGCCTGGCAGTGAGCTGGCGGGTGTATGAGGAGGCGTGGCCGGGGCCGAGGGAGAAGCGGCCCGGCCGTCGGAGGCTGCGGTGACGCTCCAAGAAGATTGGGCGGCTGCAGAAAGACGCGGACCTGGGCCGGTGGAGGCTGCAGATGGGATGGCGGCTCCAAGAAGCATCGCGGCTGCAGATGGGATGGGACCGAGATAGACACGGCCCTGGTCGGGGGAAGCTGCGGGCGGCTCAAGTAAGATGCAGGCTGGAAGCAAGATGCAGAATGGAAGCAGGCTGGGGAGTTGCAGGTAAGAAGAGCAGCATGTGTGCAGGGAAAGGGACCCTCCACAGCCCATAATAGATCATGCACAGCCCACCTTAAAGTCTCTGTGCAAGGTCTATGGTGGGCTCTGGGGGGTCTCTGGTGGGGTTTGCAGGAACTCCGATGGGCACTGCAAGGTCTATGGTGGTCTCCTGACATCCTGCAGTGCCCACCAGAGATCCTTTACAGCACACTTGAGACCCCGGCTTCCCTGCAACACTAAGGCCTCATTCACACTGCTTAAGGCTGTGACACACTGCACGCAAAGCAGCGTGGAGCGGTGACGCGCTGCCTTCGCGAGCAGTGTGTCATGTAATTTTCTCCTCGGCACCTCAGCTTGCGAGAGCTCGCGTAGCTGAGCGTGCCGAGATGAAATATTTCATCTTCAGCCAATCGGCTTGCGCGTATAAACCGACGTGATGCGACGTCTGGCTGGTTGTTATGCAGGAGCCGATTGGCTGAAGGTGCAATCAATCAATCATGTGCCTGCACTCAGCTCACACACAGCACGCAAAGCTCAGCTCCATGCCGGACAGCTTTGCTTCGCTCTGCACGGCTTTGCGTGCAGTGTGTCACGGCCTTCAGAGTTGGCCCATAAACATCCGTGCTGGTGCGGGTGTCCATACTCGGACGCAGATAGGATCCATCCTGTCTGTGTACGAGTATGGACATCCACACGGACGTGCAGTTCAAGTGAGCGTACAGCTGCGTCCTCCCATAGAGAAGAACAGGCTGCTGCGTACAAATCACACGCAGCACCTGTCCTTCCCGGGAACGGCCCGATATGGCCGTGCACGTCCCAACTCAGTGTGAATAAGGCCTAATAGCGCAATCTGTCAGACGCTGTATCCAGCGACTTGAAAGAATACGCAAAATGTCTTTTTAGATGGGGGGTTCTTTTTGCCTAGGGCAGCACGAAACCTAAATACACCACTGCTTACACTACATCCATAGTGATTAAAGTGTTGTTTTTAATGCCATGGAAAGGTTATTTCCAGAGGTTCTGAGGTGGACAATTTTAGGAAGGTAGGGAGCAGGCTACATTAACAAAATAACATTTTACAAAAGATAGAAAAGGTTTAGGAATTTAGTCACCAGCTGTAATATTTTAGGTGCATTTGATCAACTTACTGCTGAGACTTTTCTGACCCTGCAAAAGACAGACCTGCTTAGGTATACATTGTCACTGTAAACCAAACTAACTTGCGCTAATGGAAATAGTAATAGTATAAAAGATGTGTAAAAAATGTAAGAACTGGATTAAAATTAAAATTAATACGACCCTGGAGCTGATCCTTACCGTTATCGAATTTCCGGAAGGGCAATTAGCGCTGTACACCTTGTTGCATCATACATTGTCACTGGACACTAGAAACTATGCTTGTCTTAACTCATGCTCTAGTGTACTCCATGCCCAAGAGGGTTAAGGCAGTGCTGGAAAATAATGGTGGCCACACAAAATATTGACACTTTGGGCCCAATTTGGAAATTTTCACTTAGGGGTGTACTCACTTTTGTTGCCAGCGGTTTAGACATTAATGGCTGTGTGTTGAGTTATTTTTAGGGGACAGCAAATGTACACTGATATACAAGCTGTACACTCACTACTTTACATGGTAGCAAAGGGTAATTTCTTCTGTGTCGTCACATGAAATTATATAATAAAATATTTACACAAACGTGAGGGGTGTACTCACTTCTGTGAGATGCTGTACATGATGAAGATCTACTCTGCACAAATATATTTCCCCTTTGTAATTTGTTTGATATTGAATAAAATATTTCAATTATTTTACATTAGATTTTTACTTTATATTTGTCACTTCCTGTATGATCCTGTTATATACATTTTTCATATTAGATCTACAAGGAAGTGTTACATGTGATAGTTATATATTGATTGGTAGCCCCACTGCAAGGGTTAACTTTTAAAAATCCTTCTTTAAGGGACTCTGTCATTTTTTTCCTGAGGTAGCCACCTCCACCCAAACTTGTTCATTAGGTTCTAACAACTTCTTCTAGTCAGATTTTTCTGACATTTACTCAGTTGCTGACATTAAAGCAACATTAAACGTTCATATAGTCCATGAGGCTCAGATCTACAGAATCGGATCACAAAGGTTTGCTCTATTGGACTGCAATCCCTGTTACCAACGGTCCATATGTCCGCTGGAGGATCCATCAAAATCAAATCCAAAATTGGGTAAAAAAACGAGAAGAAAACTGGTCTGAGAGGTTGCCAAGAGGCCTACAGCAACATTAAAGGAGCTGCAGGAATTTCTGACAAGTACTGGTTGTATACTACATGTGACAACAATCTCCTGTATTCTTCATATATCTGGGCTGTCAGGTATGGTGGCAAGACAGAGGCCTTTTCTTATTAAGAAAAACATCTAAGCCTGGCTACATTTTGCAAAGACCTACATCAAGTCTGACAAAAGCAAGTGGAAAAATGTGGTAATGTCTGAGGAGACCAAGGCTAAACTTTTTGCCCACAATTCCAAAAAATATGCTTTGCACGAAAACAACATTGCACATCACCAAAAGAACACCATACCCACAGTGAAGCATGGTGGCATGAATCTTTGGGCCTGTTTTTTTGCAACTGGAAATCATGACTGTTTTTAATGCAGTGCTGTTCGAGGACCCGAAGATCACGGGCATCCAATATTACGTTTCAACCTTGTCCCTGGCACACAGAGATTTCTCCAGATTCTCGGAATCTCTTAATGATGTTATGTACTGTAGATGATGATATATTTAAAAGGCTTTCCAATGTTACGTTGAGGAACATTATTCTGAAATTGTTTTTAGATGCAGCTTTTCAGCTTGGTGAACCTCTGCCCATCTGCACTTCTTTACACTCTGACTCTCCAAGATGCTCTTTTTATACCCATTCATGTTACTGACCTGTTGCCAATTAACTTAATTGCAAAATGTTCTTCTAGCGCTTCCTTGTTAGTACCACTTACTTTGCCAGGTTTTTGTTGCCTCTCCCAAATCTCTTAAAATATGGGTTTATGAGATTTGCAGATCATTGTATTTTGTTTTTATGTTGATTTTACAAAGCGTCCCAAATTTTTTGGAATTGGGGTTGTTTGTATAAGTTAAAGGATGTACATATTTATGTACCCACATTATTGTTGGTTTTTATTTTATTTTCCCCTTCAAAAGATTTCAGTTTGTTTTTAATTGAATTGCACAGATTATAGGTCACATTGAAGGTGAAACAGAAAATCAAAAGTGATTTATCTTGCTCTGAATATTTTTTTACATTTAAAAGCCTGGCATTTTGACAGGGTTGTGTAGACTTTTTATATCCACTGTATTTATGGCGCTTGATTAGAAGAGCTGATTAGGGACCCTCTCAATAGCTCTTGACTTTACAGCACCACTAACCTTACTAAAATGGTGTAGCATTGCTACATACAATTTCTTTGTATGTTTTATATTTTTTAATTATTTGAACATGAAACCATCCTGTCTAACAGGAACCTATACAATTTGATGCATATTGTACAAACCATAAGCAGTAAGCATGATGTTGGGCAACACTGAAAAAGAAAGAGCAGCGTCCAGGAAGAACGGTATACCTGACTCCTGATGTCTCCCTGGACCTGCAATTAAATTCAGTGACCTTAAACATAATTACCACGCACTGTACACTTCATCAAGTTTAGCAGGATCCTCTAAGGATGCAACTCACTTTCTATCAAAAAATAAATAAATTCTAAATTGCCATAATCTAATGCCTACAGGCCAACAAAAATACAAAAAATATATATGCATAAAGTGAACAGTCATGTGAGTTTGAGTTGGCTCTTACTGGTCACAGGCTGTGAAGGGCACTTTTTTAATTTTTCTTCATCTATAGCTCCTGAATGAGCATCATTACTTTAGTTTCTGAAGCAGCACAGTGTTCAGCAAATCAGCTTCTTCCAGCGTCTGGTTCTCATCTGTCAGTTCTGTGTTGGGAAATGTGGTGACCAGAGTAAAGTCAGTGTGTGCAAATTCTGATCGAGACTGTGTAATAAACTGGCGCACATCCATAATCCTGGAAGAGATCAGATAAGAGAAAATGGGATTTTTGTACTCAATGTAAAATGCTTTTCTTGAAATCTATTGATGAGCACAGGAAGTCATATGCCGGATTATACTGCCGTCTACAGGAGGATTGTACACGCCAAACAAATAAATTGGCTAGCCCAGGAAAATTACCTCCTAATCCCAGCATTCCTCAGTTTTGTAGCCAAAAGCATGATCATAAACACAGAGGGGTGGGACCTGTGTCCCTCAACGGACTCCGAGAAAAGGATCATTCGGCGTGTCTAAATATCCTCTTTTCTTTCTCATCCATTGACGGACATAGGAAGTTATGAATTGTTGGGACATCAAAAAGCAGTCCAACTGAGGGGTGAGGAACAGCAAACAAAACAGTAATGGGCCCAAAAAAACACAACAAACCTGGAAACACTGTGCTGCTCCAAGAGCTGCCTGAAGGACCTTACACATAAAGCTTTGCATAATGCCAGAACATCCGCCTTGTAAAACTTGAAGAAGGTGTGAGCAGAAGACAAAGTGGCAGCCTTTAAAATCTGAGAGACAGTAGTTCAATTCTGAAGAGCCCAAAAGGGACTTACAGATCTAGTAGATTGTGCCTTGGTGGGAAAGGGCGACACCAGAGAGTTTAAGGTTTCTCCTGGGAAATAAAACTCTGGCTTGAGCTATGTCTAGAACCTGACACTGATATTCCAAAGTTAGTTGGTTCCAGGGCTGATTTTTCAAGGTTCAAGATCCAACTGAACCTCTGCATGGTATGGGTGGTCAGTGCTGCCAAAATCCATGCCAACAGTTCGCTCAGTAGGAAGTGGTCCAGACATCCTACTTGAGAATGCCCTAATAGCTCACTAAGGCTAGTACTGGGGCTGGCAACTTGAACATCGGAGGTGTAGAAGATAGATTAAATGGCAGGACCACAAATTGGAAGTGCAGTCACAGTAAAGCATAAGAAGAGGCCAGAAAGTCTCTCTGATGGTGGGAGGCTATGGCAAACCATTCCATACAGAATTTCTGGCCTTTAATAAAAGACATTTAGGACCCTAAGATCCAAGATGTAAACTGTTCTGCCACAGGGACTCAGCAATGGCACCCTGTCCACAAATATTAACAGACATCACCCCACTTTGGAATGTGGGGGCACACCCTTATGTTGAAAACATTTCTGACAGCTTGGGACATTTGGAGTTCCAAGGTTTGCACAAGAACTGAGGACCAGACTTGGGTCTGGACTTTGAGATGGGCCCTTGTAGTAGGAAGGACTTTTCTTAGCCTCCAGTGAGGGGTTGGCATTTCCAGACTGAGCTTTTGCTTGAGGAAGATGAGTACTCTTGCTACCTTGTGGAATCCTTGATGAGGACATACAAGGGAATCCATAAGATGCGTTGTCCCCCAAAGGCAGATCAGATAGAACAAGAGGAAAGGCACAGGAGCATGTTTATGGCCTCTGTGCTATTTGGCCCAAAAAATCCTGCATGGGTGCAGGGAAATCCTCCTAGGATACGAGCAGAGGAGGTGGCCACTTCCAAAGGAGCTATGGAAGACTCCGTAGATGCCACAGACTTTAGCATAGGACAAAATTCCATGCTGAAAACATTGGCCGCATCAGTAGGCACACTGTAAGCAGCACTGGAGCCTTAGTGAAGTGAGAGACAGAGACAGGGCAAGCGCTGAGGCAATACCATGGATTGGACCTGGATAGTGAACTGCAGCTTACCAGTAATGGCTCTGGAAAACGCCACAAACAAAAACAGAACACAGTGTCCAGATGGTCACTTCCACTCAAGTCCCACAACTACCAGTCTAGGAGGGTCCAGGCACAGTACTCCAAGGTAGAGGAGAGGCTTATCCAGATAACCCACATGAAAGCCATCTCATGCAGCAATGTAGTGCGGTATCCTGACTGAAAAAAAAAATAAGAAAAGCTAGGCTTTTCACAGCTGAGCTGTAGACGTCTAACCTCCTATAAACACCGGTAAAAAACTAAGGCTTTTCAGAAGTAGTTGGGGTTTTCCCGGGCTTCAATTTTTTTTGTTTTCCAGTGTCTAATCCTCCTGCAGGTAGACGTATAACCAAACAGTATATGACTTCCTGTGTTCCCCAATAGAAGAGAAAGAAATAAATTTTATAAAAAGAAGACAAACCACCTGCAATAAATAAAAATGGCATCTCCAGTCATCTGTTGCCAAGCCCTGTGCTCCAAGCCTACTTGGATGCATTTTGATGTGTCGAAAGAAAAAAAACCATTTTATTTAGATCACTATGGTTCCTTGTTCTATATATAATAACACCTTACAATAACAGTATCCACTAACGCAAAAAGAACACAAGTCTGCTGACAAATGTTGCATTTTCAGACATCTTTCTAATTTGTGGAGTCAGTATTAAAACTCCTAGCAGCATCAAGCTAGCACCATAAAAATAGGGAGGCAGACCATACAAAAAGGGTTTGCCATAAACAAATATTAATTTGTATTAAAGATAAATGTCAAGCAATGCAGCCAATATTGCTCTGTCAAATGTATTACTAACAGTGGATGCTTTTTTTATTTTCTTCATATCTCCATAGTTATGCCTGTAGACTGCCCTAAATAGCTACAAACAGAGACAGTCTCTGTAGACAAGACTGGAAAATATTTTCCTTGTAGATCATTTGACTCCCCGTGCATGTCTTGATAAGTAGCTGTGCATGCTCAGAGATGGAAGAGCTCAGCACAAATGCACCAAACTCCTTTTCTCAGTAGGCAATGAACAAACCTAGGCTGCCACTGTACTTGTTGTTTGCAACTTATCACATTTCTATTTACTACAAAATCGATTGTCCCTTTAACCAATCTATCTTATGCCATATTGTTCTCAAGGTGCCTATAGATAACCATTATTTTGCAAAGTGTACTGTATATTGTTATGTAAATGAGCCAGTATGAATATATAAGATCTATTACATACAAAAGAACCTTTCAGTATTGTATTGCAGTCATTTAATGTGCACTGTTAAAAATATAACTTTCTCTTTTGTGTCAACACAATTAAAATGTATTGAATGAAAAAATAAGTGGTCCCCTAACCCTTGCAGAAAAATCCAACATTCAGTACCGTATATACTCGAGTATAAGCCGAGATTTTCAGCCCATTTTATTTTAATTAGATGCATTGGCTACACTCTGCTTATTGATTATAAAAAAATTAATGAACATTACAGACTTCTAACACATTTGTTTTTGATATATACATTATTTTTGCATGCATCTATTGACTGTTACCTATGGCTGAGATTGAATCTTTGGATAAGACGAGTCCCATCAGCAAGCCGGATCTGAATTTTTGTTGTTGGCACGTGTTCATCAAGTTCAACTTCAGCATTTAAAAATGGCTTGTGTTCTTCTTCCGGGGATGAAGGTGTACTTATTATTTCAGGTGTTAAGCTATAGGAATGCAAAACAAGAAAATTGTCAAGTTTTAATTAGTTAATGCTGAACGCCAGGCAAGCGGATAAATACATGGGTGAAATACATATACAGTATTTGATCTGTATTACCTGCTTAAAGATTTTTAATTGTCTTTAGAGTAAATCTCAGACTTTTTCGTCAGTCCTGTGATCCAGATACTCCTGACAAACATTAAAATCACAGAACCACAGTCCGCTGTTTATAGTATGGTAATACTACTCATTTTCAATAGTATCCCAAAACACATACACAAAGTAGACAAATGCAACTGCCCATCAGCGCACTGCAGCAGGTGTAATAAAGAATACATGCGTTGTATTTTGGTGCGCTGAAAAATGAGGCAGGAGAGTTTCACATTTCTGCACCACAAAAACTGGCGTATAGTTGCAAACAGGCCATTACACCATTTCAGAGGATAATTGGTGCATGTGTCAGATATCTAATTTCCCTCAATTACAGTAATCTGATTGCTCAGATATAGCTTAGGTGGGATGGAGCATCATTTGCTTGCAACGTTTGATGTATGCTGCTCTTAGGAATCTATTTATTTTACCTTCTGCATGATGTGGGTTGACATTAACACATTCTATGATACTAACAGACATAAAAGCTTGCTGAAGAGTTAGCCTAATTTTTTTTAATGATGATATAAAACATACGGTTTAATTTTGTCACCATTATGTTTGGTGTACAGACCCAAAACATTTTCTTGATAGTTTGAAATTAGTATATAACCTATAATTGCAAAACATTGTTTAATGTATCAGCGTAGGTCAAAAAATCTACTAATAAAAAATTTGGCCTAAATAGTATAACAAATTGAGAGATCAGTAGGTTAATAAAACACGTAGTAGGCTACATGCATACCTTCCAAGTTTTTTCCCATCACCACTGAAGGCTTTAAAATTTAATCTTGGCTTTATATATTCTTGGTCTTGATGGTCTTCCATATCTAAACTGACTTGCCCACTGTGAACCAGACGATGGAGTTCAATTGGGATTTCCCTGGAATGAAACAATATTCAAACAATCTTTCAACTCAGAAATCATTTGCATTTATATAGAAAAATAGTGATGTCAAAGTCCACTGGTGAACAGTCACTTTCCTCATAGTTGTAACTACTACCCAGGAACAACCAAACCACTAAAAATGCAAAAAGGGTTGCTTTAAGTGGCAACACGGGATAGGATATATCCATTTTAAGCAGATAATAATAAAACAAGAGCTCCGTTATGGCAATTTAGTTAAAAGTTGTTGTCTTAACCAAAGTAAAACAATTGGCTTCATATAAAGCTGCATAACAGCATTTTACAATTTCTTACCGCAGTCTACTACCTTTCCTATCCCAGTTATTCATCCCAATGATGTTGTCTTCCAATTAATAAAAAGAAAATGCTGCTCCCTCGTGTGCTCTGAAGCCTACTGCACTGTGGATGTTTAATAAAATTAAAAGGTGCAGAGAGTCTACTGTTTTCAGTCAAGAGAGTCTGATAAGAGAGTCAAGATAAGAGGATCACCATGGGCACACAGCAATAAAAATATATTTTTTTATTGCTGTGTGCCCGAAATTTCCTTTCCTGTCCCAGTTATTAAGCCCAATTATGTTGTCTTGCAATTAATAAAAAGTAAATGCTGTTCCCATGCTCCCTTAGGTGCTCTAAAGCCTACTGCACTGTGGATGTTTAATATAATTAAAAGCCTGCAGAGAGCCTGCTCTTTTCAGTCAGAGAGACCTGATAAGAGAGTCAAGATAAGAGGATCACCATAGAATACCCATAACAAAGAAGAAAATGCATACAGTATGTAATGAAAAAATATGGCCAAATATGGCCTCTCTCAGATATATGGGAGTGGCTATATACAGGTGAAACTCGAATAATTAGAATATCGTGCAAAAGTAATTGCAGTAAGTGCTGCAAAAGGGGCCCAAACCAAGTACTGAGTACATATGCATGCTTGTACTTTTCAGAGGTCCGATATTGTTCTATGTACAATCCTTGTTTTATTGATTGCATGTAATAATCTACTTTTTTGAGGTTGTGGATTTGGGGTTCTTGGGGTTTTCATGAAATGTGTAATGAAATCACATATCCCTGTGTGGCTTTAGCAGCAAAAGCTGCTATTTAAATAAGTATGATGTTCTTGGAAGTTGCAGCTTCACTTTAAAAGGTATACTTAGGTCAAACATATTGCATTGAAAACATGACTATCATGAAAAATGTTATAACTGAATTAGCATTAAGTAAAGGGGACCGAACTCTCCTGAAAAATACTGACACCAGCCACGTGTGAGTATGTCATGGGAGTAAACAAATTGGAGCTCATTACACGCCAAGACTGCTACTCTCCGTCGGAACATTGTCTCCCCTTGCATCCTGCATATATTTGTCTCACTGCAGTGGGTTGGACCTGTAGGGCACAGTCGACTTCCTGCTACCTATTCCTACATTCAATCTGCAATTGGTGGTATGAAGATCAGATGAGCAACTTTACTTGTGTACAACATTGGAAACTTTGGTAAAATATTCTGTAATAACAATACTTGTGGATTACCTGCAAGATCTTCATTACTGGAATATCATTACGATTTTTTCTGGGTAAGACTTTTCTGATGCTAATATTATTTTTGTTAACTGGTTCTGGCAATGTATTTCTCTTTGCATGGCTTGTATATAATACATTTTAGATTTTTTTTATATTGGACCCGCTAAAATTAGGATATATATTCTTACTAACTAGGGCTGTGCTGCCCTTTTGGCAATCAGGAAAACTGGTTAATTAAAAGGGGTACCCCGATGCAAATAGCCCCCCTGACCACAGAACCCCACAACCAACGGGTCAAAGCTTGTAGGGAAGAGGCACTCGGACAAGGTGCTTTTCCAGTGGGGACCCTCCCAATGCCGAGGGCATGTGGCCTGGTATGATGCAGAGGAAAGGGAGGGGGGTTTGTGCTCGCTCGTCCCTGTCCCCTTTTCCTGCCCTGTCTGTGCTCGGAACATGGGTCTGGGAGAAATTTTAAGGGGGACCCGTTTTTTCCCCTTGTTGTTTGGGGGTGTGGTTCTCCCTTAAAGTTCCTAACATGCCTGAAGGGCATGGTATTAGTTTTGGGAGGAACTCCACGCACTTTTTTTTTTATTTTTAACTTGGGGGTTTGGCATGGATCGGGAGGGGGACCACACGCTGTTTTTTAAAAAATTTTTGTTTGTTTAAATTTCTATCATTATTTTTTTGCGGCAGGACATTTTCCAAACGCCTCCCTAACGCCTTGCCTTGTTAACGCTATAGGGGCATTAATGAGCATTGATCGCACGGTAAATTCTTAACGCACATGTGAAAGAGCTCTAACTTTACTTGTAGAAAGGAGTTGTACTTTATACATCCAAGTATCTATATGCAACATAAAAGTATATTACCCTTTCTTAATGGATTCCAGAAACTGGGCGTTCACTGGATCTGCATAAGATCTTAGCTCTCCATCATCTAAACTGAACCCATTACTCCAGAGCTTGAGCAATATTTCAACCTGCCAAAAACAAAACTGAATAAATTCACCAATGTCATTTAAGGCATACCAATTAAGCATGTGGTAAGATATAGCAACAGGCACATGCGCTGTAGATTAACTGTATATAAAACACAGTACAGTATGCTGGAAACACCTTTCTGTACCATACAGAAGAAAAGAAGTAAAATACTGAGTTATGCAGCTTTGTATTTACTTTCGTGGATTTCTGGACTTTTGCTGTTAGCTTCAGCAGAACTATAATAAAGGTCATGGACAATCAGTAGCACTGGCATCAGAAGAGATAGGGATTACCGATGAGGTGGCACGGACAGAGATAAATGCCCTTGAAATGGTCAGTCAGCCTTGACACGACAATCAGTGACGCAGTTGAAGATAACAGTTATATGTAGTGGGTATAACTAAAGAGTCTCAAGGTAAAACATGATGACACAGACTCTGCACCACAATAATCAGAAAATGTCACAATAAAACATAAAGTAGCTTGTGATAAAGCCCAAGGTCACGCTTTTCACAAGTTCAACCTTTAGTATATTTCAGCTGTGCCTTTTTAACTAAGCCATATCTAAACTTTTTATATAATGCAGCTTACCAGGTGGTTGCATTCGTTTCTTTTTATACTTTTTTCCCCTTATTTTCACCTGGTGATCTAGCAGTAAGTCTGTTATTTTATTTTTATTAACTGTAGAACCAGCACACAATGATCTTCCAAAGAAAATCCAACTTTATTCCACATGCATCCATACATAAAACCTCTGACGCGTTTCTGCCTTACTCAGCCTTAGTCAAGTGTCAGTTGGAGGGTTAAGACAAAAGGGGGGAATTGATCAAAACTGCAGCATTGGCCCATGGCAACCAATCAGCTTCTATCTTCATTTTGTTCAGCTAAGCTTTGAACATGAAGGATAGAAGCTGATTGGTTGCCATATGCAACTGCTCCAGATTCTGTCTGCTTCGGTTTTTCAAACTATTTAACACTGACTGGGTTGTTTACAATGGTTGGCTGTATTCATTCATGTAAAACCTCTTTTACAAAAAGGAAAAAATAAAACTGTTGCTGTAACAGCTCAAAAAGTGTTAATTGGAGTTTGGCTATAAATTGTTAGTCAATAGAGTGGAGCCAGCCTAAGACAGGAAGTGTGTTACTGGCCAGATCACCAGGTAAAAATAAAGAAAAAATGCTCCCCAAAAAGAAAACTATTGCACCACATTCAGGATTGATAAGCTGCAATATATGACAAATATTGCTTTTGGGTTTAGATACACTTTCATATGGCTACTTTCTACAGTCTGATGGTTTACTGTTTCCTGCCAACACAGGTGGAATACTTGCCATGGCTAGAAGTACATAGAGGAAGCATAAGAAGCATAAGAAGATATAAATGGTGGTCGGAATAGTGGCTGGAAGAATTAAAAGAAATAGGGCTGCATGTGGTCTCTGCTCCACATTTTCATACTGCAGCTGGCAAGGTCCATATTCAGAACCTCATCAAATCTACTATAAACACATCTTAATAATGATAAAGTATTTATTTTGCACTAACCTTAACATGATAGGTTTGCTTGAATTCACCAGTAAATATGAGCAAGTTAAAGTGACACTAAACACAAGAGAGTTACATCTCAAAAATGTATTCAAGTACCTTGAAGGAGAACTATGAGGTTAGTGATTTCCACTCATCCTCATAATTAGAGCCGACCTGTGACCTGGGCAATCGCCCACCATATACTGAGATTTGGGTCACCGGAGAAGGTCAGTATATGTCCTCCTGTGACCCTAAAGAGAACTATGGGGAAAAACACTTACACCATAGTTTTCTTTTAACTATTAACAAAAATGTATCTTATTTGTGTGTCACTGGGCTGTAGATGCTCAAATCATCTATGAATTGGTGCTGACACTGTCCTTCCTTCTGGAGGGTGGCTACTTTTGTTCCCCATGGTCCGTGTGTGTGTTGTAAAGTAGCCACCGCTCCCAGCTCACTCCCGTGATGGACTACAATCTCACACGTAGTTTACTAATTGTTATTGAAATTAAAGTCCATCACGGGAATGAGCTTGGAGCGGTGGTTACTTTACAACACACACAGGGACCATGGGGAACAAAAGTAGCCACCCTCCAGAAGGAAGGACAGTGTCAGCACCAATTCAGAAATGATTTCAGGATCTACAGCTGAGTGATACACAAATAAGTTACATATTTTTAATACTTAAGATACCGTATTTGCCGGCGTATAAGACAACTCGGCGTACAAGACGACTCGGCGTACAAGACGACCCCCTACTTTTTGTGTTAAAATATAGGTTTTGGGCTACACTCGGGATTACAGTCTCTTACCTTGTCCACGATCCCCGCTGTGTCCTCAGTAATCCCTCCCAGATAACACAGGAAGGTCCTGGATCTTCCTGCAGACTACTCTGAATTAAGGTAACAGAGACTGGTTGAATTCCCACCCCAGGCTGTGGTAAAAGCAGCAACAAATTCATGTGAACCCTGTGCTGCTCTACTCTAAGCATGTTTCCTGTGTTTGACTGGCAGCACAGGTTCCTGATTAGCTACCAGGAATCAGCTCCTTTACACAATGTGAGTTCTGCTGCGTTTTTTAATGAATATATAAAACTGGATAATCCATGCTTTCATATTTTCATGACACTCTGATGTGAAAAAAAAAACAAACAGAAGAGATATAAAGGAAACTCTTACATCTGGTCCTCCAGGAAAAAGCTCATCATCACGTATATATTCAGACCGGTTTATGGCTGAATCGCCTAGTTTATAACCACCTCCAGTAAATGACTAGAAACACAAAAACATTACATGAAATCAATCGTTTAGAAAGTTACTGCACAGTTAGCTAGCATTAGGACTATATTAATTACAATTACTAAAACAGTCTTAAATAATCTGAAGAAAAAGAAGACATATTAATAAATCTCGTGCAGGTTGAAACAGGTTTTTTACTGAATTACATTATTTTTTTATTTGCGTTTTATATATAATTGTACCTTTATCCATTGTTTGATTGCTGTGCTGTGAGATAAATGAGCATGCTATTATATAAATTGCCCTGTATTTAGCTTTTATAATAGATGCTTCTGTCTAGAAAACGTTTTGTGAAATCTTTATAATCAAAAGACAATGGACAATCCAACTTCCCAGTGTGGTCTTGCACTTCTAGGCTTTACCCATATTATCTTGCCTCGCAACTAAGATACAGATGCATACCTCCTACTAGATATACGTCCTACTCGATACCGAGTATTGGGCGAGTACTTGTACTCGCCCAAATGCTCCGATACTTACCCCCAATACCGGAACTTCCGGTCAGAGGGAGATTTCCTCTGGCCAGCAGTGCTGCGAGGGAACATGCGGCCCGCCAATCAGGAAGCTGAGCAGCAGGTAATGACATGCCGCCCGGCTTCCTGATTGGCTATGAAGCTGGCTCTATGCTAGCGGAAGTACAGGTATCGGAACTCTGTATCAGCAAGTACCTAAATATAAATATCGGTACTCGATACCAAAAAAAAACAGTGTCGGTGCATCCCTAATACATATACACATTGCGCATGGGACGTACTTGGACATTCCAACATGACAATGATCCTACACACAAGGCCAAGTCGACCTGTCATTGGCTACAGCAGAATAAAGTGAAGGTTCTGGAGTGGCCATCTCAGTCTCCTGACCTCAATATCATTGAGCCACTCTGGGGAGATCTCAAACGTGTAGTTCATGCAAGACAGCGCAAGAATTTACAGGACCTGGAGGCTTTTTGCCAGGAAGAATGGGCTCATCCACACATACCACAAAAGACTTCAGGCTGTCATTGATGTTAAAGGGGGCAACACACCGTATCAAGAACTGGGGTATGTAAACTTTTGATCAGGGTAAATTGGGTAGTTTCTGTTGTCATTATGATTGGAAAAGAGTAAACACAGTTGATTGATAATAAATGGCTTCAGCCAAACACTACCCATGAGTGGCAAAAAGTAGAGTCTTCTAGCAGGTCCCAGCCAATGAATAACTGGACGGAGCCGACCGTGATGTCACAGCTGGCTCCACCCAGTCACCGTGGAGCTATATGTAACACATGATTAAATATGACCCTATTTCCCTGTTTTGTATGTCTAATGTTTAACTGCTTGCTTTTACATAAATAGATGGATGGTAGCCCTCCAAGGCATGGACGACATTTGAAAATGTCATTTTTTGATGTGCGTTTGCGCGTCCTGTCTATTGGACAATGCAGATCACACAATTAGGGTACAGAGTCAATTGGAGGGGCTCTGCAGCAAGTGATCTCTTTGACCAATCAATGCATCCCACAGCTGGCTCTCAGCCGAGTTTGCCGATTGCCACAATCTAGTACCAGATGGCAATGGTAAATAAGTGCCATTGTTATGCAGAACCAGAGACATCCAGTACCAGTACTCATTCACCCCTCTCTACTACAAGTTAGCTCTGTCCCGTCTCTGATCTGACCTGTATATTAAGCTTCCTTATCCTGCACATTACCCATTCACCTCCACCTCTCTCTGTGTAATACCTGTACATTTTATGTATCTAGTGCACTATTACCAAGCTCCATGTTTGAACCCCTCAATACTGGCATGTTTCTTCATTTACCAAAAATGTTGGCAAAAAAAAAAAAAAAATCAGATCACCTTGGAAGTTCTACTTTCCAAAAAGTTGTCATTATGGGAATTTTCGTACTGTCCTGGCATTTTTATTTGCTGTGTTTTATAATAGACAGTAAGGGAAACTGTTTTTTCATTGTTTGGTCTTTATTTCCTTTATACAGTTAAATATTTTTTTTTTTAAATCCCATTGGTTATTAAATATTACCATCAGAAGCTAAAATTTATTTAGTTACAATGTCGCACGACAGAGTAATTGTTAGTCAAAGTAACACAGCAGTGAAAACTGGAAATTGGCCTCGACAGGAAGGGGGTATAACATGCTGGTCCTCACATGGTTAAATAAAAACCGTAGATCATGCAGAGATGCACTTACCTTAGCTTTAAAAACATTTTTTTCTGATGATTTGATGGCTTCTTCTGCAGTCATAGCTCCATGTTCTTTTGCTTCTTTAAAAAGCTCATTCACAATTTTTCCAGGGGAATGGAGCCTGGAAATGCTATAAATCCTATTGATTAGCGACAGCTTACATGAATGTCAGAACAATGTACAATAGTTGTTTTCAATATAGAAACACTTTCCAAACACTCTTGGTGTGCTTCCACTACCATTCAAATGAACAGAGATCAAGTACCTACTAATCTACCACCCCTACCACAATTTCTACCTGATCCTTTTCTACTTTTTGCTTTGTGGAGACACATGGAGGACACTAAAAAACATACCCTACAGACCGTACAGTAAAAACGGTTGCACGCCTTCCATACACCTTGCAATTATCGTACGATCGCGGGATTTCACCTAATAGCAAGGTGTATGGGCACCTTTAGAGACATAACTCTTCCCATCTTCCCCTTGATCTCTTCTGCACTAAGCCTTGCCCTTCTGGTGCTAATCCCTGCCATCCAGCTGTAAAATGGAAGGCATCATTGGTTAGCAGAGGCACTGGCATTTGGTAGTTGAACAGCGGATAAGCACTGATAAGGCGGCCTCATTAAAAAAATGGACAAAAGTCCAGTCCATGACTGCACAATAGAGGTCTCACCTCAAACCTTATCAGGCTTATTAAATTACTTAAAGAGCAATATCCAACATGTAGAAACCCACAGTCACCTACCCATCTTGTACTATTCTACAGCAAAGTGAAATGTCATTGCTTGCTATGGACTGATGTGCACCAAAACCTTTTTCAGAATGCAAAAGAAATATGCGATACAATAACCAGCCAAGTACTGGCTTTTATGCTCAACGTTTCAAAAGTGTAAACTTTTACAAGGTTAGAAAAAATATGATGGTTCTAACCCTTTAGACCTGAATTTATGGACCCTAAATCTGTTTGTGATATAATTGAGCAGATGTAGACAGTGAGGGGAATTTATCAAAACTGGAGAAAACAAAATGTGGAGCAGCTGTGCATGGCAGCCAATCAGCTTCTCTCTTCAGTTTCTAAAACTGAGATTTCAAAATAAAAAGAAAGAAGCTGATTGTTTGCCATGCACAGCTGCTCCAGATTTTGTTTGCTCAATTCCCCTCAAAGTGTTTCTCCTGATCACAGTGCCAACTGTAAAAAATGAGATGCCATCTACCTTTCTTCATGATCTTCTGGGTGAGGTTCTAACAAAGAATCAGGTCCGTCAGACTCTGACAGTTGGTCTCTGGACTGATCCTCACAGAGACGTTCCAAAGCCAGCTAAATAAAGATAGAGTAGAACATGCATTATCAAGAGAACTCAGCGAGCACGAGATCAGATAATCATGTGAGAGGTGTGGCTCTATCACACATTGTAACATCACAACTTACCTGACTACAATGTACCACATGATGCAAAAAGTCTAAAAGGTGCCCATACACCTTACGATTATCGGACAAAACTTTTCGTCCGATGATCGAATACTCGTACGATTTTCGTACGACAGCCCCATCTTGCCCCGATGATCGCAAGATTAATTTAGCCGTAATTAACAAAAAGCACCTGGACGAAATTAGGTAATTGATTTGCCGTATTTTCATTAGCGTAAGCACAGTGCAGATCGTACGACTTTTGACGGACGGAAACGCCAGCAACCTTACGAAAATCGTACGCTCTAGCAAAGTTTTCAAACATGCTTGACTGTCAAAAGTCGTACGATTGTACAGTAATGTCGGTCGGACACTGCAATGCAGACATACGATTATCGAAAGAAAAGTCGATTGAAAATCGTCCGATAATCGTAAGGTGTATGGGCACCTTTAGGCAGGGGTCTGAAACTCAATTTAGTCGGGGGCCACTGGACACATTTTTTAGTCCCGTGGGGGCTGCTACTATATACGGTACCAGTGTTAATGTCTGCATATGTTACAAGCGGCAACTGTCACCCATTCAAATTAATGATCGGGTGACAGCTGCTGCATGTAAACGCCTGCACAGCGCATGTAATCATATGTGAAAGGAATCTGTCCGTATCCCTGGATACACAAAGAGCTTACAATCTAAAGTCCCTATATCACATGCATACATACAGAGCCAATTTAGACAGGAGCCAATTAACCTACCAGTATATCTTTGGAGCTGATTGTCCAACAGCTCTCCTCCCTGCACCGCCCCACTTCTGACTTTGCCCTGTGACTGCTCTCTCCTCCCCGCTGGGTGAAGGCAGGTGGATCGGCTCTGTGTCCCCTCTGATCCCCGCTGCCTCTGCCAATTCAGGTGGGGGAGAGCAGCGGGGATGGGACACAGACAGCAGCATACAGTGGGCTCCCAGTGGGGAGGAGAGAGCTGCAGAGCCGATCCTGTGGCGGCAGAGGGCGGTATTTGGGGGAGCTCTCCTCACCGCTAATCATCGGCTGTAATGGTCTGTGTCCCCTCCGATCCTTGCTGGCAGCAGCAGGGATCGGAGGGGGCACAGAACCAATGAAGCACCGGCTCCCAGCGCGGAAGAGAGAAGCAGGGGATCCACACCAACTAATAATGAGAACAATTGTTGACAACAATTCTCATTATCGATTAAATCGATTAGTTGATTCAGCCCTACCAAGGCTGAGCAGATAGTTTATAAAATGATTCCCTTACTATTCTCCAAGGACATGTGATTTTTAGGGAAGTTCACACAATTTAATAAAGGATACATTCAGTTTAATTTCAGTGGAAGCATATTTCAAGTCATCATTGCCTTTCACATTTTTACAAGACTGCTCTCTCATGTTTTTTGTTAGAGACATCTGTGAGTTTGGCCAGTAGAGAGAACTTTACTTGCTCAGTGCAAATACTCCCTCCCTTAAAGCGACATTAAACCTGCAGAGTTTTTTCATTTTTTTTATTAATGAGGGCCAGAAAAAAATGTTCGTTTGTTGTTTAGTTTTTTCAATGTCCTCATTCTCAAGTGGTATCCAGACTGCTAGGCTCCCCTCTGTATTGGTGCCTCCATCAAGTAGCTAACTGCTGTGGAGGCACCCGTATGTGCACGGTCATGGCCATGCCCTCACCCTGCAGTCACAGCTTGACTGATGGCAGAAGGAGCCTATGACCCCTCTGCCCTCAGTACCCTTCCCTGCAACCAGGAAGTTCGGGGAAACCCATGTAGCTTCCCGGTCGCGGCGGAGGAGACGAGCAGCTGCAGGTAAGTGTGGTGGGGACGAATGCATTAACCCTTTCGCTGCCAAGGACGTACTACAAGCGAAAGGGTTAAGGCAAAAAACACCCAGCCTTTATTACTACTTTAAGTGCTGTTGACATAAGGCATCAGCCATATTGGGAGGGCTTTGTTTCTAATAAGTCCGGCAATACACACACAAGCATTGTGAGAAGTTAGCCTAGAGCTACACTTGTGGGTAAAGGGTACGTAAAACCTAGCAATAAACGTCTCTTGTTCAGTCCCTGTTGGTCTATTAAATATACTATTGGAAGTGTTTTGTTATATCTGTTTAACCACTTGAGATCCAGAGGATGTTTCTAAACATCCTGGAACTGAAGGGGTTAAAACAAGCTCGCGGATGCAAAAGTTACCATTTTGTTCAGTTGACTCCTGGGTATCCAGTAAAAGTGATTAATAGGAGTGCTTCCCTGGACTATGTAACATGCTGAATTATTTGTCAGTGCCATATTATAAGAGTTCTGTCAGTAAATGTATTTGGTGGTATACAGGACTGCTATTATCGGCACATTCATACATGCAGAGCGTGCTTCTTTTCCCAGGAATTCCTAAAGCTGGCCATTTACTGTACAATCTCCTTTAGGCCTCATTCACATAGGGTAGAATGGGGCCGTACAGATCCATTCTCGGGAAAGACAGGTGCTGCGTGTGAATGTACGCCACAGCCTATTCTTCCCTATGGGAGGATGCAGCCGTACGTTGTCATACACTCATCCGAGCAGGTGTCCGTGCTCGGACGCACACAGGATCTATATTGTCTGCATCCAAGTACGAACACCCGCACCTACATGGATGTGCAGCTCAGGTGAGCGTATGGCCGTCTCCTCCCATAGGGAAGAACAAGCTTCTGCGTTAGGGTTGCCACCTTTTCTTCAAGCGAAACCCGAACACTCTAGCGATGCTCGGACAGTTTTTGGGGAGAATGAGTCGTGTCTTATTCATATGTAAATAGCACCAACCATTCATATGTAAATATTACCATTGAGACTATTTTCAGTGGGGGGCCCGAAGCCCCTATCTTAATTTTGGTTGCCCCTGTCTCCGGGTTCCTGCTGCCATGAATCCCGGACACAGCTTTCAAAACCCGGACTGTTCGCGTGAATCCTGGACAGGTTGCAACCCTATGCTGCGTACAATCACACGCAGCACCTGTCCTTCCCGGGGAACTGCCCAATTCGGCTATGCACGTCGTGTGGATCTGTACGGCCCAACTCTACCCTATGTGAATGAGGCCTTAGAGTTACCAAAACTATGTCATATGACGACACACCTTGACAAAGCCATTTAATTTGTATCCAGTCAGGCAGACCCTTGCATTACTTAGTTGATGGTAGATCTTCAGGAGATTGTACAATCAGATTGTATAGTGTACAAGCTTTGGCGTGAGACTTTCGGTCCAATTCCCAACCTTGTGTTTGAGGGCTTATGCATACGGCCACCTTTATTTTCAAATTAAATACGGGAGCATTTCCGTCCCCAGGTAGCAATAGGTGCTGTATACAGCATTCCATAGAAGTCAATGGCTGTACATGGGCATACGCTGCACCTGTGTATACACACACATGCTTACAGGCGCGGAAGCAAAAACAAACGCAGACTGTCTGCATACATGTGTTTATGCCAGTCCAGTGTATACCAGCATACAGCCATTGACTTTTATTGGAGGCTGTACCCAGCACCTGTGGTAGATATACTCTGCAATGTAAACAGTAGGGTGCCAGGTGCCTGTGTGGAAGAACCCTAACATAAGCATTACACTGTAATGTGCCCGCCCACGTATGATTTGCTGCTTAATTCGAGAAATACGTGTATGGGGTTCTGAAGGCCAGTACATTCAGTTTTGCACGGGCCTCCCCTCAGGTGACATCAATAACCTAATACACCAATACACACACCTGGATGTCCAGCACGGACGGTCTGAGCGGAGGCCCCGCCCCCTCTCCTGTCTCCTCCCTCATACTTTCATGTCCGCCGTCACCTCCTTCCGTATCTCCTGTTTGATTTTCCCCCCCGCCGAGCTCCTTCTCTCTCTCCTCCATGTTTAATGTAAAGTGCTACGGGCAACCAGGCCAGCTCGTCTCTCGTCTCCGCCGCTTACGTCACGGGCCGGCCTCATCACCCCCGACATGCCTGTCACCAGCCAGCGCTGAGCTTGTCGCCATGGCAACCCTGCATGCCGCGCAGACTCGCTGGGATGTTCCCGTATTGTGTGTGGGCTTCGAGTGACGTCATTCGTCCCGTGTGACGCTCACACAGCAAAGCTCTATTATGAGAGTTCAGCTCTTAGGCCTCATTAGCTTCTCTAAATGCAGGAGAAGATATCTTGAAATTGTAAACAACGTTTATGCCTCCCAGGCATTTTTTTCTGCACATATATGCTTAAGACTAACAGGGTTATTCACTAAAGGGTGAAGAGTTTGGAGAAGTAAACAATCTAGGACAACAGCTGATTTGGAAGAATTCTCCAATTCAGTTCACCTTCCAGTTCAGCTATCAATAAAGGCATTTTGTGAAGAAGATGGTGTGCTGGTGACTCTGCCAGTTGCTTCAGTACCCGCGTAAGAATTAAAAGGGATGCATCAGTCAGGTGTGCTATGGGATACCTATAATACATTTCGGCAATGTGCACGGGAACATGTGCATTCCTGCAAAGCCATAATGTGTGTGGGGCCTTAGGACCAGTTCATACCAGATGTGTTTGAATGCATTAATTAATGGATTCCAAATGCATAGATGGTAAAAATGAATGACTTGCAGTGAGTGTAGTGCACAGCATTGCCTTGTGTTGATGTGCGTTTGGAAAAAAGATAGAGTAGGCTGCATTTCCACAACACACATGAACACTTGTATTTAAAGAACAATTAAACCCTTGCGTGTTTTTACATATATGTACTGATAGCAAGCAGTAGATATAAGCAAAAACATTAAAAAAAAGTTAACAAAAAGGTTAAAAAGTACATGTGTTTCTGCTGCACACTCCCGTCGGAGATTCTCAGACGGCCGCAAAGGATCATGGGGCGCAGTAGAGATCTTCGACCGGGAGAAGAGGAGAGACACAGTGTAAGTCAATGCACGCAGCACGCTCCTGCACAGACTCCGTGGGACATAGAAGACACAGCAGTCAGCGCTGGATCAGGGACCAGCGCTGGCGGGACTCCTGAAAACGAATGGAAAGAAGATGATTGGATCAAGAGGCATCATTTAAGGTAAGTCCTTAAAGCAGCATGGGAGACATGCATTGTTGACTTTAACCTCACTGTAAAGACTTCAAAACTGCTGCAGCCGTGATCTTGGTGTCGTCTTTTTCAGCAGGCGATGTTTGTTATTACAAGTGATCTGAGTGGCTAATGTGCTTCCCCGCACACCTCTGGGGGGCCCAGGACCACAGCAAACAGTGTCAGGACGGAGAGCAGGAGCAGATCGAGGAATGTCTGTTCCCCGATATGCTCTGTGATCAATGAAGCATTGAGGGCAGCGCTTTCTGCTTCAGAGCTGCCAGAAGTCAGCTGAAGTGCCAGTTACACAGGTGATCAAGCAAATTCCTGTGCTTGATGGTCTGTATTGGAGGGCAGGGGAGACATCAGGGGTATAATAGACCCCAGATGTCTACATCAAGATAATCTGCCACCTCCAAATGCTAGCAAATAGGAGTTTATTATCCCCTTTTTGATAGCAATAAATTCAAGTTTAAAAAAAAAACTTAAAAAGTAAAATAAATGAATATAAAAAAAAATAAAACCAACCCCGCTGCCCCCGCCATGTGCATGCAAAAAAACACGTGTGCGTACCGCATGCACATGTATGTAAACAATGATTTTGCCACACATGTTAGGTATCACTATAAACATCGGAGTGAGAGCAATAATTTTAGGTCCACAATTCACAGTTAACTCTAAACTGGTGAGCAGTAAAGGCTTTTAAAGTGCCACATAGTTACATAGTATTTGAGGTTGAATAAAGACATTAGTCCATCAAGTCCAACCTATTAGGATCTCATTCTAGGAGTACCTGTACCCCTGTATATTACGGTCCCTTAAGAAATCGTCCAAAAGTTTCTTGAACAATTCCACATTCTTTGCTGAAATCACTGTCTGCGGCAGTGAGTTCCAGACCCTAACTGATCTTACTGTGAAGAACCCCCTTCGCCCCTTGTGCTGGAATTTTTTTTCCACCAATTTTAGGTGGTGGCCTCTAGTTTTTGTAATGGAGTTAATTTTAAACAGTTTATCGCTAATGTTGCTGCCACCATTGAACATTTTGTACATGGAGATCATATCCCCCCTTAATCTCCTCACCTCCAATGTGAACATGTTTAAATTTAGTAGCCTTGTCTCGTAGCTCTGGTCCTCCATACCCCTAATTAGTTTGGTTGCCCTCCGCTGGACTTTTTCCAACTCAAGGACATCTTTTCTTAGTACTGGTGACCAGAACTGGAC